CTTCCAGTCTAAACGCATGGCCTCGTGTCCTATGTAAAGTCCGGTTTGTGAATAGATTTCCACACAATGGTTTGTATTGGCCCCGAATATATTTGTATAATATTATCATATCCCCTCTCAGGCGACGTTTTTCTAAACTAAATAGGTTTAAATTTGTTAACCTTTCTTCATAGCCGATATGTTCCATTCCTTTTTATTAATTTTGTAGCCCGCCTCTGCACTTTTTCTAGTGCCATAATATCCTTCTTTAGAACAGGTGCCCAAAATTGCACAGCATATTCAATATGGGGTCTTACCAGTGATTTATAAAGAGGCAAAATTATATTCTTGTCCCGAGAATGAATGCCCTTTTTCATGCATGACAATACCTTACTGGCCTTGGCTACTGCTGATTGACATTGCACATTGTTGCATAGTTTGTTGTCTATAACAATTCCAAGTCCTTTTCATGTGTTGTTATCCCTAATTCGCTTCCATTAAGGGTATACGTTGCTTGTGTATTCTTTACGCCGAAGTGCATAACTTTGCATTTTTCAACATTAAATTTCATCTGCCATTTGAGTGCCCAATCCCCCAGTCTATCTAAATCCCTCTGCAGCAAAGTAATATCTTGCTCACATTGTATTATTTTACAAAGTTTTGTGTCATCTGCAAACACTGAAACATGACTTTCAATGCTGTCTTCAAGATCATTTATAAACATGTTAAATAGAAGGGGTCCCAGAACAGACCCCTGAGGGACACCACTTGCCACCTCTGTCCAGCTTGAAAATTTACCATTAATGACAACTCTTTGTACTCTGTTTTTAAGCCAATGTTCTACCCAAGAACAAGCATTTTCATCTAGACCGATTTCCTTGAGTTTGAACACTAATCTATTGTGTGGAACTGTATCAAATGCCTTGGCAAAATCCAAATAGCTCACAGGTCTATAATTTCCAGGCAAGGATTTTGAACCCTTTTTGAATATAGGAACCACATCTGCCTTCCTCCAATCCTCCGGAACACTTCCTGAAAGAAAAGAATCTTGAAAGATTAAAAACAGAGGTTCACTTATTTCTACACTTAGTTCCTTAAGTACACGTGGATGGATACCGTCAGGCCCTGGAGCTTTGTTTATATTAACTTTCTTTAGTTGCTGCAGCACCTTGTCTTGAGTTAACCAATTACAATTATTCTGCAAGTTTTAGTAGCAATCATTTGCACATCTATTGCCATGGGTTCTTCCTTAATATATACGGAGGAGAAAAAGTTATTTAAAATTCCTGCCTTTTCCTGGTCTTCATTAATTAACACCCCTGTTTCAGTTTTTAGTGTACCTACACTTTCATTTTGTTTTTTTTTAGAATTTATGTACTTAAAAATGCTTTGGGGTTGGTTTTGCTCTCTTCAGCTATCATTATTTCATTTTGAAGTTTAGCAAGTCTAATTGCCTTTTTGCACGCATTATTTGCATCCTTATATCTTTTATAAGATGCATCTGATTTGTCCGATTTAAATGCTTTAAATGCCCTTCTCTTAGTTGTAATCTCTTGTTTTACTTCTCTACTAAGCCATGTTGGTTTTAATTTGTTTCTTTTATATTTATTTCCCAACGGTACATACTGAGAAATGTACCTTTGTAATATTTGTGTGTGTGTAAGTGTTAGTGTGTCTGTTACTGAGAGTGTCTGATGTCTGTTAGTGAGTGTGTATTTGTCAGTGAAAGTGTATGTTTTGTAAGTGAGTGTGTATGTCTGTCTGTCGCTGAGTGTGTCTCTGTCAGTAAATGTGTGTGTCTGTTAGCTAGTGTGTATGCGTCTGTTCGTGAGAGTGTGTGTCTTCAGCATTTACCTTTCTCCAGCGCCGGACTTCCTTGGCGCTGGGGATCCCTCCGCCTCTCAGCTCCGAATGCACATGCGCGGCAAGAGGCGCGCGCGCGCATTTAAACCGCCCATAGGAAAGCATTACTCAATGCTTTCCTATGGACGTTCAGTGTCTTCTCACTGTGATTTTCACAGTGAGAATCGCGGAAGTCCTCTAGCGGCTGTCAATGAGACAGCCACCAGAGGCTGGATTAACCCTCAGTGAAACATAGCCGTTTCTCTGAAACAGCTATGTTTTCAGCTGCAGGGTTAAAACTAGAGGGACCTGGCACCCAGACCACTTCATTGAGCTGATGTGATCTGGGTGTCTGTAGTGGTCCTTTAGGTGTGTGTGCAGCATACCAGGTGCCCGCCGCCATGTGTTGCGGCCCCGACCCGCGCCGAGTAAGCGCGCGGGGGGGGGGGCCCACGGATCAATTTTTGCACCGGGGCCACATGGGTCATGTGTACGCCACTGCTTAACGCTAGTCCGAAATCATCTGGTGTCAAAGAACAATCTAACTGGGGACTGCGTCGCTGTACAGGTGGCAGGGGGAGCAATTTACAAAGTTCCCACTGCCAAGGTGCATTTGAATTGGGGAGCGGGGCACGGGAATGTGGAGGTGGGGATGATGCAGGATTTACCCGCTGACGTCATCTTGGGCAACGACCTTGGGGAGCTGACTTCAGCTTTTGTTCCCCAACCCACCATTCAGGAAGCGTACCCAGTTGTGACTCGGCAGCAGGCCCGCACCACAGCTCCATCTAACCACTCTGAGGCTCAGGTAAGCAATGAAGATTCCATGCCCTCTGTCCTGCCCTGGGCGACCCCCCTAGAATTTGGTTCCAAAGTGGCCCAAATCCCTCCCTGCAGATATATAAAGACCGCATAGACAAAGACCAGGCAGGGCTAGAAGGGGAAAGGTACACCTGGGACAAGGGGCTACTGTACTGCCACGCAGAGAAGGTAGTAGCCGGATCTATACCTTGTTGCTGGTTGCTATTATCCAGCTCTGCCATGGATGATGGAGATGATAGCTGATAGCTAGCTCTGCCATGGATGGTGGAGATCATTGCTGATATCGAGCTCTGCCATGGATGGTGGAGATGATTGCTGATATTGTCGCTCTGCCAATGTTAGTGGAGATCATTGCTGATATTGTCACTCCTCCATGAATGATGAAGATGATTGCTGATATCGTCGCACTGTCATGGATGATGGAGATAATTTCTGATGTCAGTTGTAACGGTACCCTCAGCATAAAAGGGTTAAACCGCTGTTTAGTCGATCTTCCCCTTCCAGAGATACAGGCACAGCTACTGCAGAACACCAAACTCCTGAACTGCATACAAGGGAATGCTACAAACTCCCGGACTGCATACAGTAGCACTCCAAACTCCTGAACTGGAACCTCACGAATAGCTGCTAGCAGACGAACAGGAAAAGCACCCAAGCGGCTTACACTCCTGGCAATCAGTCTCTATCAGCATACAGTAAATCCCCCAAAAACGAGACAGAGCTCCATGTTGAGGGTCAAGCAGTAGTCTGGTTTAATGAGGGCTACCTGCCCAGTATTTATGCAGGTCTCCCACCTGGTGGACACTCCCCTAGGGGACCAAATGGGAGACTGTGACAAAGGACAGACATGAACCAATGACAGACACACATAGGTAAAACCTCCCCACAATGCATCCTAACTTCCCTCCCTCTGTCCTGGAGATAATTGGGAAGTAATCCAATTACTTTCCAGGACAGAGGCAAAACTCCATTAACCACATGGCAGTAAAAGACAGTAAAAGACATAAAAATGTATAAAATTACAACTGTTGCACAAAGCATATACATTCTACCTATCCCCAGATAGCTTAGATCTGAGCGCACAAAAGTACCGAATAGCGCTCAGATCCTATGCACACAGTCCAATCGCCGTGGAGTTAAAGTGTTCACAAAGTCTGTTCTCCATACGAAGAGACTCCACGGGATGGCTATTTGGGGTAATGCTGTTCATACGGTTTAAACTACCGAATGAACAGGCATCCGGTTAAATGACCGAATGCAGAAGCAAGAAGGCTGACGGCTCAGCGGCGCAAATAAGTGTCCGTTTTCAGTTCCATGAGTTGGGTGTTGAACACCGCTGTGCGTTCGCGTGTTTAAAATGGCCATGACCTCGTGTTCGGTATACGAATGGCGGCCATCCAGCATTCGTCAATTAAGCTGCGGTTAACCGCAGCTTCTGGGAGGTTAATTGCGACACACTCCAACTCCCAGGTGGTCCAGTCATTCGTGCGTTAGTTCGGTAGATTGAATCTACCGACCGCCGGGCAGAAAGTCACGAATAAGCCTTTTCTGCAGGGGAAAAGAAGGCTTTTAACATGGGGCCATAATCCAAAGGCAACAGGTGAGCAACCAGGCTTCTCCAATGCAATGTGGCGAGATTGGTCTCGTCACATCGGTGCTCTGACTTAAAGTAAATCTGTTTTCTAGGTTGGATGTTAGGCCAACGATCCTTGCAACGGATCCAGCCACCCCCCATACCGCCGTTAGACTCCAGAGAGATGTATATATAGTTCTGTTTACTATTATCATGGTTTAATGCCCGAGGTTTGCTCAAAGGTCGGTATGTGAACAAAACATGCAAAAGTAGGACCGGTCTGGGCAGATTCTTTACACTAACAAAACGAGATGTGATATTCCTCATACACTGACAGAAGGCAGTGAGAATCACAGAGGAAGGTACACGAGAGGGAACACGGCATACAGACGGCGACAGAAGGAGTAAGTGACAGACAGAGATAGACTAGAGGATAGTGAGATATAGAGAGATAGACTGAAAGGAATAGAGATAGGGACACAGACAAATGAGTATAGTGATAGAGAGAGACAGACAGGAGAGAAGAGTGACAGGTAGATAGACAGGGGAGAATAGTGATAGAGAGAGACAGACAGGAGAGGATAGTAAGATATAGAGCGATAGACAGAAAGGAATAGTGATAGAGAGACAGACGGGAGAATAGTGATACAGAGACAGTGATAAAGATAGACAGGGGGAGTGAGTGAGAGACAGACATAGTGAGAGATATAGGTGGGGAATGTTTGGGGTACACTATTGGGGGAAGGACATATTTTGATGTTTTTTGTGATTTCTGCAGAAAATTATGTATCCAGGGAATCCAGTGGCCGTGCAGCCGATGGCTGTCACCCAGACTGTTATGATGGCCCAGGGAGGCGAGTGGAGCACAGGAATCTGTGATTGCTGTGATGACTGCAGTATCTGTAAGTGACCGACCGTAACCCAATTATAGAGCCCTGAACAGGGGCAGATAGTCCTGAGTGGGGGCAGCTAACCCGAAACGCACAGGGGGCAGATAGCCCTGAGCAGGCAGGTAGCAGATAGCACTGGGCAGTAAGGGGCGTATAGTCCTGGGCAGTATGGGGCCTCTGATGCTGGGGGGCTGGGTGGGGTGCTCAACCCAAAAGGAATCTGGTCTGGATTCCAAACTGACATAGTAAAGACAAAAAGGAATTGTGGGTAGACCTGTAACATGCAGTTTTTTGAGAGCAGATATATAATTTGCATTGTGAGTATATACACTTAATTGTTAGTTTTGTCACCTCATTTTTTTTATTTTTTTCAGAATTTTGTTTATTACATTAATTTTGCATTACATATAGTCACAATGCTCTTACAATAGATTATTTAAATACATTTCATCTTATTTAGCACTAGCACTATTTAATTTGGCTCCCACTTTGGAATTAGTGTAAGACCCACTGATATTGGGGTACTGTGAAGTAGTGGTGGGCTTAGCACAGTATGGCTGTATGGTGGGACTGAGACCCCATAGTGGTAGGCTTATAAAATGTAACAATGCATTTTTATATCTGTTCCTTAATCCGTATTCTGTATGTCTTACTGTGTGTCTCTCAATATGTCTGTCTGTCTTAAGGGGTAGATATCCTATTATCCCTATATGCAACTACATAGATAAACGCATGACCTCCACCCTCCTTACCATTATCCTAAAAATCTCCCAAATATAGCAAGGAGACACAGACAACAGATTGGAAGGAAAACCATTGCTGGTTGCTTTAATAAACGATAATTAAAAGGCCTCCAATGCTTACCGACAAATAAATAACATTGTGACAGAACCATCTGTCTATTTATTGCGGTGGATTCGTCTGTTTCTGCCCCGTTCGTGTAAATGGCTGTTTCCTATAGCCCAGCCATACGAATGACTGTTTTTCCCGAACAAAACTACCGAACGGATGGCCACCCAGGAGAGAAGTGTGCTGCTGGTTAACCTATTGATCCCAATTAGAACGTTGTGGTTAACCGCAGACACTTCTCAATTAAACCGAATTCAGGGTGGTCGTCGTTCGTATGTCGACCATGAGGCAGCGGCCATTTTAAACCACGCGAAAGCCCAGCGGTGTTCAGCTCTATTTTCATGGAACTAAAAACGGACACTTTTTCTGCCGAACACCGCTGAAACAACGGAACACCTGGCTGCCTCCACGAAAGCGTACGAACACCGGCCGTTCGGGAGTTTTGCAACACACGAAAGGACTTAACCCAGATAGCCTTCCCATGGAGTCAATCGCATACCGAAAGACTGTAAGAACTTTGACTCCATGGCGATTGAATTGTGTGTGTGGGATCTGAGCGCTATTCGCCAATAATATGCACTCAGATCCAAGCTATCTGGGGATATGTGTTGCGAATGGGAAATGTTCGGTTATTTTAAAGTTATATATTTTTATGTATTTTCTAGTATTATATTTAAGATGGCGATTGTCTTTGTCCTGGAGATAATTGAATTACTTCTCAATTATCTCCAGGGCAGAGGGGAGGAAACCATAGTGCATTGTGGGTAAAAGCTGTGACTGTACGTCTGGAATGTCCCCATGTCTATCTGTCATTACAGTCTCCCATTTGGTCCCCTAAGAGAGTGTCCACCAAGTGGGAGACCTGCATAAATACGGGCAGGTAGCCCACAGTAAAGCCAGATCCTGTTTGACCATCAATGCGGAGCTTCTGTCTCGTTATTGGGGGGATTTATTATTTGCGTTTAGAGACTGCTGATTGGAACCGAAAGCCGCTTGGTGGATATAGTTGTTCGGCGGCTAGCAGCAGTTCGTGGAGTTCCGTTCGGGAGGTTGGAGCCTTTCATGGATCCCGGTCGGGAGATTACCGCTTCCCCTGGTTATGGTTCGTGTATTGTAATTGATGCGAACGGAGTTATTGGTCTTGCGAAAGGGGAAGGTGAACTAAACGGCGGTTTCTCTTAAAGACACCCGGGGTGTCTTAACAAACATTATTTTAGAATAACTGTTGACTAGGGTGGTGGCACTGAGGCCCTAATTATTTGTTTCAGATCACAAGAGGATGCGGCTCCCACCTAGTCCTGCAGCCCCAGTGCTTCCGCCCAAGCAGAGACATAACGTACCGCAGAGGAGATCTACAGCCCAACACCTCACATAGAGTCTCTGGAAGGGCCCCCCACACCTCCTAATAACATGAGGGTGAAATAACCCAACAGAAACTTGCCAGCACTCCCGTCCTCCATCTCCGCATCACCCTTGAGCCGCACACTCTCATGGGAGAGGGAAATAGAACAAACTCTCGCTCAGCAGAGCAGGGGCATTGCCAGGCTGACTAACCAACAGCTACCACAGGTGAGTCGAAAACTAAACTGGGTAGAGTGGTGAGCTTGACTAGCAGGCCTCGCACCAGGCAACTAACCACTTCGACTAAGGAGAGGCGAAACTCAGTGCTGTCTCCACAAGGAAGTCCTCTGCCGAAAAATCCAGCGTGGGAAAACCTGCAGAGCATAACGCCAAATAAAGAGGCACCTCCCCCCTAACACACAAAGTATCTACCCAGTTGCACTCCCCTCCTAGGAGACAATCCTACTGTCCCACTAGGGTCCCTCCACTCCCAGTCTTTCAATCTCTTCCTGTTTCTTTCTCTGTCTGTCTCTCTCAATCTCTTCTTTTCTATCTGTCTCTATATCTCTTCCAGTCTGTTTCTCAATCTCTGTCTGTCTCTCTCAATCTCTTCCTGTTTGTCTCTCAATCTCTTCATTTCTGTCTGTCTCTCTCAATCTCTTCCTGTCTATCTCTCAATCTCTTCATTTCTGTCTGTCTCAGTCTCTGTCTGTCTGTCTGTCTGTCTGTCTGTCTGTGTTTGTCTTGATCATTTTCTTTCTCTGTCCTTCTCTTTCACTTTCCCTTCCCATGGGTCTGTTTTCTAATTTCTTATTTTTTGTCTTCTTTCTTGTCCCTCTCTTTCCTAATCTCTCCCTTCTGTGTCTCTCCATTCTAAATAGTTTCTTCTTTATGGTATCTCTCTCTCAGTCTCTTCATTCTGACCAGAGGTATGTCTGTTGCCAAATCCCATTATTTAGGGAATGAGTTTTGTGTTAGTCTGTGTAAGGGTTTATATAGAAGTGATATAATATGAGGATCTCAGAGTCAATATATGGGGTAATAAAGTCAATACATGGCGCTTGCTGAAAGAGCCAGTGTATGGGGTGATAGAGTCAATAAATGGCGCTAGATGATAGATTCAATACATGGCTCTCGGTAATAAAGTCCACATATGGCGCTAAGTGACCCAGTCAACTTATAGTGCTCGTTGATAGTGTCAATATATGGGGTAATAGAGTCAATACATGGCGTTGGGTGATAGATTCAATACATGGTTCTCGTTGATAGAGTCAATATTACATAGTTACATAGCTGAAAAGAGACTTGCGTCCATCAAGTTCAGCCTTCCTCACATATGTTTTTGCTGTTGATCCAAAAGAAGGCAAAAAGAACAGTCTGAGGCGCTTCCAATTTTGCAACAAACTAGGAAAAAAATTCCTACTTGACCCCAAAATAGCAGTCAGATGTCTCCTTGGATCAAACAGCTATTACCCCACTAATTAGAAATGATATACCTGTATGTTATGTTTTTGGAAGTATTTATCCAATTGCTGTTTAACCCGGCTAGAAGTCCAGAGAATTTAATTTGCTAGCACTGTATTTAACCCTGTAACTTTCCAAGACACCCTAAAACCTGTACATGGAGGGTACTGTTTTACTCGATAGACTTCGCTGAACACAAATATTAGTGTTTCAAAACAGTAAAATACATCACAGCGATGATATTGTCAGTGAAAGTGAAGTTTTTTGCATTTTTCACAAACAAACGGCACTTTCACTGACGCTATTATTGTTGTGATATGTTTTACTGTTTTGAAACACTTATATTTGTGTTCAGCGAAGTCTCCCGAGTATAAAGGTTTTATAGTGTTTTTGAAGGTTACAGGGTAAAATTAAAGGCTGTTTTTTCACATTTAAACTTGCTAAACTGGTTGCCTTTGAGAGCGTATGGTAGCCCATGAATGAGAATTACCCCCTGGGCCACCATTTGCAAAAGAAGACAACCCAAAGTATTACAAATTGGGTATGTTCAGTCTTGTTTAGTAACCATTTAGTCACAAACACTGGCAAAAGTTAGTGTTCATAATTGTTTTTTGAATTTTTAACACACAAACAAATATAAATGCTAACTTTGTCCAGCGTATTTGACTAAGTAACTACTAATAAAGACCGGACATACCCCATATTGAATAAAAAATATATACATGTGAAAGGTTATTCAGGGATTCCTGACAGATATCAGTGTTACAATGTAACTTGTGTTAATTTTGAAAAAAAAAAAATGGTTTGGAAATAGCAAAGTGCTACTTGTACTTATAGCCCTATAACTTTCCAAAAAAAGCTAAGAACATGTTAACATTGAGTATTTCTAAACTCTGGACAAAATGTAGAAACTATTTAGAATGGTTTTTTTTTGGCGGTTGTAGATGCGTAACAGATTTTGGCGGTCAAAGTCAGAAAAAAGTTTTTTGTTTTTTTATTCATCATATTTTACATTTATTTTAATAGTAAATTATATGATATGATGAAAATAATAGTATCATTAGAAAGATCATTTAATGTCAAGAGAACCAGTATTTTGAATGTGTGGCTACAGTAAATGAGTTAGAGGAAAATTACAGCTAAACACAAACACAAACACACCGCAGAAATGTAAAAAGAGTCATTGTCCTTAACGGTAAGAAAAGTGAAAAGCAGTCTGGTCACTATGGGGTTAAACCTCGATATGGACTCTGATAAAACCACCTCTTCAGGCAGAGAATTCCACATAGATAAAAGTAGGTACAAAAACCTACACGTACCAGGAGATCCCTAACCAGATTTGATAAATAATACAAATGTTACACACAGATAAGACAGTGGATATAAAGGCACATAAAAACACAAATTAAGGTTACAGTGCTTGTAGTGTAAAGTGCAATATGCATTCGTCCACTAGGTGGCAACCTTGTATCAGTACTATCCTCACCTAAGAGGTGGGAAGGTTGACTAAATATTGCGTTACCGGCAGCATGTATGTCCTTTGAAACCAAAAAAAGATGTATATAGATAGTCAATGGGAACTCTCACAAAAGATAAATAAATAGTCAAAGAAAATATAATGATAAAAACCAACTAGCAGTCTCTGGATATCAAAGTTCTTATAAAGCAGAAAAAATAGATACAATATCCCAGCCAACACGATGTGTTACTGTCAAAAGAAGCTGACAGCAGCACGTATGTGTCAAGTGGTACATACAATCTAACCAATAATGGTATAAATTGGTAACAGCAGGAACATCAGATTATTGCAGAATACCATTTGTAGCAGAATTACTCATCGACCACCATAACAGGTAAATGGTAATATGATTTCCTTGATGGTCTTTAGATAGTGATAAAAGCTGACAATGTTCTTCGGTTAAAATGTTCTCATTTATTAAGAATAAAGGATAAAATACACTCACAGAGATGAAGTGTAGTAAGGCAGCAATTGAGTCTTGTGGGATCAGCAGAAAAAGGTGAATAGTTGAGCGGGCTATGGAATATCTTTCACCGGGCGATGAGATGATATCGCTGTGCTGGGAGAGATGGAGTACTCCTCGCATGCGTTCCACTTATTGCACCCGATCTGCGTTCCACGATTATTCGGTAGATGTAGCTGAATCGATATACGGCAAATGCCAAAAAGCCTATCGCGTTTTGTGACAGTCCAAAGTCACTTCTTCAGAGACTAGATTATCCTCTGAAGAAGTGACTACAGCTTCAGCTACAGCTACCAAGTAAAAAAAACTGTAAAAAAAAACTTTCCTTTTGCCTTAGATAAAATCTCCTTTCTTCAAGGCTAAATGTCTGACCTTGTGTGCTATGTATAGCCCTGTTTATGAATAGATTTCCAGATAAAGGTTTGTACTGGCCCCTAACATATTTGTATAGTGTTATCATATCCCCTCTGAGGCACCGTTTTTCCAGACTAAACAGATTTAAATTTTTTAACCTTTCTTTGTAACTAAAATGCTCCATTCCTTTTATCAATTTTGTAGCTCGTCTCTGCACTTTTTCTAGTGCCATGATATCCTTCTTTAGAACAGGTGCCCAGAATTGCACAGCATATTCAAGGTGTGGTCTTACCAGCGATTTATAAAGAGGCAAAATTACATTTTCATCCCAAGAATGTATGCCCCTATTTATACATGACAAAACCTTACTGGCCTTAGCAACGGCAGATTGACATTGCATATTGCTGCCTGATTTGTTATCTATAACAATTCCCAAATCCTTCTCGTGTGTGGTTATCCCTAGTTCACTACCATTTAGGGTGTAACTTGCTTGTGCATTCTTAACCCCGAAGTGCATAACTTTGCATTTCTCTATGTTAAATTTCATCTGCCATTTTAGTGCCCAGTCCCCCAATCTATCCAAATCCCTCTGCAGCAAAGCAATATCCTGCTCACATTTTATTACTTTACAAAGTTTTGTGTCGTCTGCAAACACTGATACATGGCTTTCAATGCCTATTTCAAGATCATTTATAAATATGTTAAATAGAAGCGATCCCAAAACAGAACCCTGAGGGACACCACTTACCACTTTTGTCCAGCCTGAAAATGTACTATTAATGACAACTCTTTGTACTCTATCCTTAAGCCAATGTTCTACCCAAGAACAAGAATATTCATCTAGACCAATTTCTTTTAGTTTGAAGACTAACCTATTGTGAGGAACTGTATCAAATGCCTTGGCAAACTCCAAGTAGATCACACCCACTGCAACACCCTGATCTATACTTCTATTTACTTCTTCGTAGAATGCAATTAGATTAGTTTGACATGACCTATGTTTCACAAAAAAACATGCTGATTATTGCTAATAACAAAGTTCTTCCCAATGAATTCCTGAATATTATCCCTTAATAGCCCTTCAAATATTTTCCCAGTTACAGAAGTTAAGCTCCCAGGTCTATAATTTCCAAGCAAAGATTTTGAACCCTTTTTAAATATAGGAACATCTGCCTTCCTCCAATCCTCCGGTACAATACCTGAAACAAAAGAATCTTGAAAAATTAAATACAGAGGTTCATTTATTTCCCCACTTAGCTCCTTAAGTACTCGTGGGTGAATACCGTCAGGCCCCGGAGCTTTATTTACATTAATTTTCTTTAATAGCTGTAGCACCTTGTCTCGAGTTATCCAATCACAAGTTATCTGCAAGTTTTTTGCAGAAATCATTTGCATATCTCTTGCCATAGGATCCTCATTAATATATACTGAAGAAAAATAGTTATTTAAAATTTCTGCTTTTTCCTGGTCTTCATTAGCTAACAAACCCATCTCTGTTTCCAGTGTACCTACACTTTCATTTTTTGTTTTTTTAGAATTGATGTACTTGAAAAAGAAATTTGGGGTTGGTTTTGCGTTCTTTGGCTATCAATTTCTCATTTTCTAGTTTAGCACTTTAATTGCCTCTTTGCAAGTATTGTTGGTTTCCTTATTTCTTATAAGGAAGCCAATAATGCTCTCATTTGTCTGATTTAAAATCTTTAAATGCCCCTTTTCTTATTTTTAATCTCTTGTTTTACTTCTCTACTAAGCCACATTGGTTTTAATTATTTTATATTTATTACCCAATGGTACTTACTGAGAAATGTACCTTTCTAATATTTGTTTGAATAGTTTCCATTTATCCTCAGTGTTTTTATCACTAAGGAGTTTATGCCAGTCGATATGTTGTAGAGCTGCCCTAATCTTATTAAAATTGGCTTTTTTAAAATTATACATTTTAGTATACCCCAAGTGCTTTTGCTTTTTTGAGTTTATTTCAAAGATTACCATCATGTGATCACTATTTCCCAAATGCTCCCCTACTTGAATGTTGGTTAAAAGATCAACATTGTTTGTTATAACAAGATCCAGACAAGCATCCTTTCTAGCTGGTGCTTGTACCAGTTGTGACATAAAGGTGTCATTTAACACATTCAAAAACCTGATTCCCCTTGCTGAAGTACTAGTTACTCTATCCCAATTTATGTCTGGATAATTAAACTCTCCAATAATTAACGTGCTACCCCGATTTGCAGCTTTCCCAATTTGCTCTAACAGCTGTTCTTCCTCAATAATATTAACATTAGGTGGTTTATAACATATCCCAACCAATAACTGATTTCCCTTTGTTTGCCCCAAGCAGATATCTACCCATAAAGCTTCCACATTTTCCTCGTCACACTCCACATGCCTAAGATTTAACATAGAGAGATACACAGACACACATGTAGATACACATATACACACTGACACACCTACATACACTGATGCACAGATACACTCTCTGACAAACATGTAGATAAACAAGAACACTAACACACAAACAAACACACTGACATACACGCAGGGCCGGACTGGGACCTAAAATCAGCCCTGGAAAAAAATTCTATACCAGCCCAATAATGCTTCGCGCCAGCATAGTGTGCTGATATAGAGGGTGAAAAAATAACTTGAAATTGAAAACTCTTACTCCAACGAAGGAACGCATATAGGGCTTCAAAATAAACAAAAGAGCGCCTTTATTTTAAGTAGACGTACATTTGCATGTAATGTTTCAGTACAACTACTTTGGCCTATTAAGGACATTTTAGTAATGGTACTGAAATGCTGAATGTCTGCAGTTGCACAACTAAAAAATGAAGTGATCTTGTTTATTTTGAAGTTCTATGGGTGCGCTCTTCACTTTGAATATGTTATTGTGCATGAGTATGCAACTAGCAACAAGACAGGGCCAATACGTGCTCATTATATATAATGACATATTTAATGACATTTATGTGTGTATTATGCATAAATAAATGTATATTACGATATGTGTAAATATTATAGGCATAATTATATGTTACTAATACACACATCAATATACATGCATATATATATATATATATATATATATATGTGTGTGTATTACTGTCAGGATCACATCAATTTATGTCTATTACCTTTACCTCGTTTAGTGTATCTTGTCTCCAATTGTCTCCTTTTTTTCTCTTACAGCGACCCTTGTGCATCTTTTACTTCATCCCAGTCCCTGTGTGTTTCTTTTTACCCTTCTCCAGCCTCTGTATTTCTCTTTCCCCCAGCCCCTTTTGTGTTGTTCTTAGCCCCAGCCACTTTGTCTCTTTCTCCCCTTCCAAATCTCATCTGTGTGTCTCTTTCTAACTCCAGACTCCGTGTGCCTCTTTCTCTTCTCCCAGTCACTCTGTCTCTTTTTCCTCAGCCCAGCGTTGCCTCCCACAAATCTTGTGTCACTTTGTTCCCCTTCCCTACTGCATGTCTCTTTGTCCCCCCAACAAACCTTCCGTGTGTCTCTCTTCCCCAACTCCTCCCTGTGTCTCTCTCTTACCCCTCTGTCTCTGTGTCCCCCCTTCTCCTGTGTCTCTCTATTACCCCTCTCTTTGTCCCCCCAACCTCCTATTACCCCTCTGTCTCTTTGTCCCCCCTTCCCTGGTGTCTCTCTATTACCCCTCTATTTGTCCCCCCCTTCCCCTCTATTTGTCTCCCCCCATTCCCCTCTATTTGTCCCCCCCTTCCCCTCTATTTGTCTCCCCCTTCCCCTCTTTGTCTCCCTCTTCCCCTCTATTTGTCCCCCCCATTCCCCTCTTTGTCTCCCTCCTTCCCCTGTATTTGTCCCCCCATTCCCCTCTTTGTCTCCCTCCTTCCCCTCTATTTGTCTCCCCCCCTTTCCCTCTATTTGTCCCCGTCCTTCCTCCATTTACTCTTCCTCTTGTCTCCCCTTTTCCCCTATTTGTCCCCCTTCCCCTATTTGTCCCCCTTCCCTCTTGTCCCCTTCCCTCTTTTGTCCCCTATTTCCCCAATTCCCTCTATTTGTCCCCCTTCCCTCTTGTCCCCCCTTCCTCTATTTGTCCCTCTTCCCCTTTTGTCCCCCTTCCCTCTATTTCCCCATTCTCTTTGTCTCCCTCCTTCCCCTCTATTTGTCTCCCCCCATCCCTCTTTTTGTCTCCCCCCACCCCTTCCCCTTCTGTGTGCCTGCTTACCTTGTCACAGGAGGACTGAGGGAGGGGGCGGAGCTAGCTAGTAGCTACCATGCTCCCTCGCGGTTTCCATAATTCCCAGCATCTACACATCATACAGTAATCCCTACTCTATGATGTGTAGATGCTGGGAATTCTGGGAACCGCGAGGGAGCATGGTAGCAACTAGCTAGCTCCACCCCCTCCCTCAGACCTCCTGTGCTGACAGCCGCATGGCTGTCAGTATCAGTGAGTGTGCCGCTGGATCGCTTAGGCGGCCGCCCGGCACACTCACTGATCCTGACAGCAGCATAGCTGTCAGCACAGGAGATGGGGCCGCCGGCCGCAAGGTGAGTATTCACCTCAGAGTGTGCCGCCGGACCGGCCACCCGGCGGCACCGACATGCGGCCGGCGGCCGCGATATTATTAAAGTAAAGGGAGCAGGGCTCCCTCTCTCTCTCTCTCCGGCCCCCCAGGTGCCGCGGCCCACCGGGAAATTTCCCGGTATCCCGGTGGGCCAGTCCGGCCCTGCATACACGCAGATACACACAATAACATACAGATACTTATACAGACCCACATGTAGATACACAGATACACACAGATACCGACACTGACACATATACAGATACACAGACACACATGCAGCTAAACACATACACAGAATTATACACATTCAAATACACAGAATAACACTTACACAGATACAAACACATACACACATGCAGATACACAGACACGCATACAGATACACATTGACACACATGCAGATACAAAGACATGCAGACACACATACAAACATACCCACAGATACACATACAAACATATACACATATAGACATACACATATACAAACAGACACACAGATATACATTATTATTATTATGATATTTATAGAGCGCCGTCAAATTCAGCAGCGCTTTACAATGGGTGGACGAACAGACATGTAGTTGTAACCAAGTTGGACACACAGGAACAGAGGGGTTGAGGGCCCTGCTCAATGAGCTTACATGCTAGAGGGAGTGGGGTAAAATGACACAAAAAGGTAAGGATTGTATTAGACTAATGACAGTTACAGAAGAGGAATCAGTCAGGAGCTATTAACAGTTTAATGGATACGCTTTTATGAAGAAGTGGGTTTTTAACGATTTTTTGAAGGAGTGGAGACTGGGTGAGCATCTAATGGAGGAGGGAAGCGAGTTCCACAGGAACGGTGCAGCCCTCGAGAAATCTTGAAGGCGAGCATCAGAGGTGGGAGTACGGACAGAAGATAGACGTAAGTCTTCAGCAGATCGTAAGGGCCTACACGGGACATACTTGTGTATAAGGGAGGATAGATAGATGGGAGCAGCATTATGTAGAGATTTGAAAGCAAGAACCAGAATTCATTATGGACTGTAACGGAGCACGTAAGACCACTGAGAAGCGGATTACAGTAGTCAAGGTGAGAAAGAACAGTGGAATGGACCATAGTCGCATCTGGCGTTAAGTAGGGGCGGATGCGCGCAATGTTTTTGAGATGGAAATGACAGGATTTGGTGATAGATTGAACATGAGGCTTGAAGGAGAGGTCGGAGTCAAAGAGAACACCTAGGCAGCGAGCCTGCGTGGTGGATCTGATTGTAGCACCGTTGACTTGGAGGGAGACAGACACAGGAGTAACAACACTTGAGGGAGGAAAGACCAGAATTTCAGTTTTGGTCAAGTTTAGTTTAAGGAAGTGGGCAGCCATCAAGTTAGAAAAAGCAGAGAGGCAGTCAGACACATATTAACAAAGACACACAGAAACACATACTGATACACAGGGTCACATAGAGACACATGCAGATACAGAAACATACACACACACACACATACAAACAGATACACATACAAACAGACACACACATATATACAGATACACACATACATACAAACAGACACACACATACATACCGACAAACACATATATAAAGACAGACACATACATACATACATACAGATGCACACATACATACAGATACATACAAACAGACACATACATACAAACAGACACATACATACATGGATACAGACACATACATGGATACAGACACATACATACAGATACATACATACATACAGACACAAACGGACAGACACATACAGACAGACACATAAATACATACACATACATACAGATAAAGACAGACATATACAGACACATACATACAAACAGATACATACATGTAAACAGACACATACATACATATATTTTTTTATGTGTTTCCTGCCTTTGGAGTGCAGGAGGCTGGCTCAGGCTGATGGGAGTCAGAGCTCCCACTCTGAATCCCTCCTTTTCTTCTCTTCCTCTTCCCGTGCGGCGCTCGGTGAATGCTGGGAAGAAGTGACCGGCTGTCCACATTGCACGGCTGTCCACACAGCTGCCCCTTTTGCCCCATGTTAAGGAGAGCCCTGAGTATGACTCCAGCGTATAAAATAAAGCAGAGCGGGTCTAATAGTGCAATATGTTAAAATATATACGGTGCACAAAAGCAAAGTATCCTACTTACACTTTGGAGAGCAATAAACTTGCTCTGGTGGTATAATCCCCACCCGAGGATGTGCAGGAACCAGGATAGTTGTTTAGCAGCAAAACAACAAATTGGATATGATGTTGTAGACAATGAATTTTATTTATAAAAAATAATAGTAGAAATAAGTAATATTACAAGTAAAAACAACACAAGAATAAAATATATAGATATAAAGAACTTCTCTAAGGTCAAACTTTACGCATTTCTCCCAGCAGGGCTTCCTCAGAAGTGTAGAGTGTGAATGTAACGGCACCCTCAGCATAAAAGGGTTAAACCACCGTTTAGTAGATCTTCCCTTCCAGAGACACAGGCACAGCTACTGCAGAACACCAATCCACCAAACCGGAGAAGCATATGAATGCCGTAAACAGCTGAATCAGAACCACACGAATGCTGTAAACAGCCGAATAGGAAAAAACATACAAATAGGTTTACACTCCTAGCAGTCAAACTGGAACAGCATACAGTAAATCCCCCCAAGAACGAGACAAAGCTCCGTGTTGAGGGTCAAGCAGTGAACAGACAGAGCTGTGGGTTTATTGTTCTTATATACACATTAGTACCACCCACAGGGTTTTGGAAAACAACCAATAAACACGAACAATACACTCAGACACTCCCACACAAAATCCTCCCCTCTGCCTGTGATACAATTACCTTACACAATGGGTAATGTAATTATCGCAGGCAGATAAATACAGTTTTTCCACATTATTCATAACTTTAAGTAAGTAATCCAATTGTAGCGGAACGCCAATATTAAATCCACGAATTCCACTGGTTCAGGAAATAATCCACAGTCAAGCGCTGAAACAACAAGGCAATATCCCCAACCTCCCAGTAACCGGACGAAACACAGTTCTGAGAGTCAACTGAAATCCTTTAATTCTGCTGCACAATTTATACAAGTCCTCATGCAAGGGGTTTCCTGAGTCCCTTCCCAGGGGCACTCCCAGAGGGGACTATATGGGGGACTTACATTACAAGGCATTTCTCCCATCAGGCACTGCTGCACGAGAGGGATCCTCCCACTGGAATATACCGTTAAGTGGATTATCCCTCCGTGCAGCAGAACTTACAATTCGTATAAAAATGTATAACTTTATGAATATGCAGTCTATTTAAACGAATGGACGTTCGGTAGATAGCTGGAGTCTGAGCGCATCATTCGTGAGATTACCGCTCAGATCCCAGCTAAAATAACCGAACGCCGCACGAAAAACACATTCATTACAAAACATATTAAAAGAACCAATTGCCTTCCAGGGAATAAAATACCGAACGGCCTGAAACTCCCGAACGTCCTGGAGGCTCAGCGGTGTTCGTGCCGTCGAGTAGCCGTTTTTAGTACCATGCGCTCGACGACCTAGCACCGCTGAGGGAACAAAGGATCCAAGATGGCCGACCGCCGCATGGTCGGTAGTCGAACGACGGCCACCCAGGAGAGCCTCTAATTACCGATTGCAACATTGTTGCAATCGGTTAACCAGCGCCACACGCCTCTAAGTGTGTGGGCTATTAGGGGTAGTGTTTTCGGTTCACGAACGGCCTTCCAAAGTGCCGTTCGTGAAACGAAAGGAAAACCCCATACAAACCGCTATCTGCATTCGGCGGATAGCAAATACATGCAATCCAATACATTACAGTCAGCATACAATACATGGAGTAAAACACATATCTCCCCAGACATATAGGCAACCCTTAAAGGTATAGTCTCTGGTTATAGTCCAAGTGGCTAGGTTTGCCACACCAATTATCTCCAAGGACAGAGGCAAAACTCCATTGAACACATGGCAGCAAAAGACAATAAAATACATAAAAATATATAACTGTGCAGCTATTGCATAAAACAGGTACATTCAACATATCCCTAGATAGCTCAGATCTGAGCGCACATTATTACTGAATGGTGCTCAAAGCACACACATACAGTTCAATTGCCATGGAGCCAAAGTCTTTCATTATACGAATGGGCTCCATGTCATAGCTATCTGGGGTATCACCGATCAAACAGGGCCAGCACCGAATGACCCTGCTTTCGTGTCTCCGCAGGGGAAAATCAAGCGTTTCAACATGGGGCCATAGTCTAAAGGCAGCAGGCGGGCAACCAGGCTCCTCCAATGCACAGTGGCGAGATTGGTCTCATCACAGTGAAGTACTGGGATAAATGCGTAAAGTGTGAGCTTAGAGAAGGAAAAAAAAACCTTCCTCTATCTATTTTTTCCCAAACTTTTACTTCCAATCTCTCTCTCTCCCCTAATCGCTTCCTTACCATATCTCTCCTATTCTGTCATACATACAGATACTATTAAGTATCTCTCATTCCCTATCTCTCTATCCAATATCCCCTTTCCCCAAACTTTTCCTTTCTCTTTTTATTTGTTCTAACCTTTCCTCCCCGTCTCTCTCTTTCCTAATATCTTCCTTCCGCTATCTCTCTATCCTAATCTATCTTTCTTTCTGTATCTCCCTTTCCCAACCTTTTTTTTGTAGAGTCTCACTCTGTGAATGTCTTCCTTCCCATTTTAGGCTGTTTAGCATTCTGGTGCTTCCCCTGCTTCCAGTGTAAGACGTCTGATGATTTTGGGGAGTGTTTGTGTCTTCCTCTATTGGAGGCTGGATGCCTTGGATACACTGGGATTAGCGGTTCCACTCCTTGTATCTCTCTGTCTATGCGAGCAGCAGCCCGTGAAAGATACCGGATTCATGTAAGTTCATAAAAAGCTTCCAAGGGCTGTTTTCTGCCATGGTGTGGGCTGTATGTAGCCACTAAATAATTAAACCAACATCACAGAGTAGGGCAGTGCTTTCCAAACCAGTCCGCAAGGCACGCTGACCAGTCCAGGATTTAGGGATTACCCAGTTGTGTCAAGATGTTTTTAGAACAAAAAAACAAAACAAAAACCGTGACACAACTGGGTAATCCCTACATCCTGGACTGGAAGGTGTACCTTGAGGACTGGTTTGTAAACCACTTGAGTAGTGGGATTTATTATACATTTTATAATATTTTATATAAAGGATAATAAAGGTAGTTGGCCTTAAGGAACGCCTAAACCTACTGGTACACATAGGATTGGTTCCATTTTCATAGTAATTCAATTATCCTGCAGTGTTCCTCATTTGACAGAGAAACAAAATTCTCATTTAGTAATCAGCCAGTCTAATAGCAACTACTACTGGAGAATTAAGGGAGGGCTCCGGGTGCATATCGGACCCTAATTGCAGACACTAATGCACTGCAGATACCTGGTTTTAGCCAGACATTAGTAGTTACGGTACGTGACATTATGTCCAAAACCAGATATAATTATTACATCCCACCGGAAGCTCAGTAATCTGTAATTGTGCTGAGGTATTGTTGCCAGCCCCTGGGACTTGGTATAGGGGATATCCGCTTTAAGTGAAAGTGTGGTCTGCGGCTCAGTAATCTGTAATTCTCAGTAATCTGTAATTGTGCTAAGGTATTGTTGCCAGCCCCTGTAGGACTTGGAATAGGGGATATCCGCCTTAAGTGAAAGTGTGGTCTGCAGCTCAGTAATCGGTAATTGTGCCAAGGTATTGTTGCCAGCCCCTGTAGGACTTGGAATAGGGGATATCCACTTTAAGTGAAAGTGTGGTCTGCAGCTCAGTAATCGGTAATTGTGCCGAGGTATTGTTGCCAGCCCCTGTAGGATTTGGTATAGGGATATCCACTTTAAGTGAAAGTGTGGTTTGCAGCTCAGTAATTGGTAATTGTGCCAAGGTATTGTTGCCAGCCTCTGTAGGACTTGGAATAGGGGATATCCGCTTTAAGTAAAAGTGTGGTCTGTTTATAACTCATGAAGAGTCAGGCAAGGTGTAATTGTATCAATGTGTTAATTCATGTGCTGTTCTGATATACCCTTCTCTTGCTGTCCCTGTAGGGATCGATTTGTAACGACTGCTGTTTGGTGTGCTGGTGCTATCAGTGCTCATGGTGCCAGATTGCCCGTGAAATTAAAAAGCGCAAACAGCCCTTCACCCTGGTAACAGCACAGACTACGCCCGTGGGGATGCCAGCCTATAATCCGCAGGTCAACCAGTTCAATATCAATCTCCCCAATCGCCCTCAATAATAATCACATGGTGTACCCCTCGTTACCCGTGTAAACCCACAAACCCAGGTATGGGAAGGTCATCCTGCACTTCTAATAAAATAAAAAATGTAACATTAATGATAGATCATTTGTAACGGCATAATGTGTATGGAATAAAATAAGCAAAATCATTGTGGCTACATACTTAGTTATTGTGGGTGTGTGTGCTTATATGTATGTATATATCTGTACAATGTACGTGTGGTTACATGTATGTATATATCTGTACAATGTGCGTGTGGTTACATGTATGTATATATCTGTACAATGTGCGTGTGGTTTATGTATGTATATATCTGTACAATGTACGTGTGGTTACATGTATGCATATATCTGTACAATGTACGTGTGGTTACATGTATGCATATATCTGTACAATGTGCGTGTGGTTATATGTATGTATATATCTGTACAATGTACGTGTGGTTACATGTATGTATATATCTGTACAATGTGCATGTGGTTACATGTATGCATATATCTGTACAATGTGCGTGTGGTTACATGTATGTATATATCTGTACAATGTGCGTGTGGTTATATGTATGTATATATCTGTACAATGTACGTGTGGTTACATATGTATGTATATATCTGTACAATGTACGTGTGGTTACATGTATGTATATATCTGTACAATGTGCATGTGGTTACATGTATGCATATATCTGTACAATGTGCGTGTGGTTACATGTATGTATAAATCTGTACAATGTACGTGTGGTTACATATATGTATATATTTGTGCAATGTGTGTGTGGTTACATGTATGTATATAACTGTGCAATGTGTGTGTGTTTACATGTATGCATAGAATTGTACAATGTGCATGTGGTTACATGTATGTATATATCTGTACAATGTACGTGTGGTTACATGTATGCATATATCTGTACAATGTGCGTGTGGTTATATGTATGTATATATCTGTACAATGTACGTGTGGTTACATGTATGTATATATCTGTACAATGTGCATGTGGTTACATGTATGCATATATCTGTACATATCTGTACAATGCGTGTGGTTACATGTATGTATATATCTGTACAATGGTTACATGTATATATATCTGTACAATGGTTACATGTGTGGTTACATATATGTATATATTTGTGCAATGTGTGTGTGGTTACATGTATGTATATATCTGTACAATGTGTGTGTGGTTATATGTGTAACGGATCACCTGGCACCCCGACTGGGTACCTCCGTTGAAGGATGCTCCTAGCGCTTCCTGAGGACTCCAAGCACTGCGGCAGACACCACAACCACCGAACCGGAGAAGCATATGAATCCTCTCAAGCATATGAATGCTGTAGACAGTTGAATAGGAACCATACGAATAGGTTTACTCTCCTAGCAGTCAAACTGGAACAGCATACAATGAATCCTTCCCCCAATAATGAGATGACACTTCACTTTGAGGGTTAAAACAGGAACTCCCTGTACTGTCACATACAGTCTCTTTTATTCCCAATCCACAAACATAGTACAGCCCACAGAGCGTTACAAAACATCCAATCAATCCGTACAATACACCCAGACACTCCCACACAAAATCCTCCCCTCTGGCTGTGATATGATTACTGAACACAATGGGTAATCTAATTATCACAGCCAGAGAAATACAGTTTCATAAAACACATCACAGGGACCCCAAAACATGCAATAACCCCATAAAAATATATCCTTGGAACTGGGGGATCTGGGTGAACCACATATCCAAAATTCACCCAGATCCGTTCAGTACTTTGGAAAATACAGTTTAATGCAGATTCTGCAGAACATATACAGGCTAAATAAAAAACAATCACTGTATAATGTGTCCCCTGCTGTATAGTCCAAAACCACCGCACGATGTCTCTGTGCAACAAATACTGGCGAGATGGCACCGTGTTGAAAAGTCCACACAGTGTCTGTGAGTTAAAATGGCCGCCATCCATTGTTCTCACCATGTGCTTCTGATACAGGAAATGGTGGCCACCCAGTAACTCCACAGTATGTCCCCAGATGGTTCTTAAAAGGGCTAGCAGCAGCACAACACAAATCCATTATGCCCAAATCATGTCTTTAAAGGGCAATACATCCCAGGGGCCATAGTCACATGGCAGGAGGCTGGTAACCAGGCTTCTCCAGTGCATAGTGGCGAGGTTGGTTCCGCCACAAATACATCAAAGAATCCTTGAGCAAAGGGCACATAAGAAAGTCATCCTCACCAGCTGGTGCAGGATTCTTTTTTGTTGAGAAAAAGGGTGGTGAGTTACGCCCTTGCATAGACTACAGGGCACTTAATAAAATCACTGTAAAAAATGCATACCCTATCCCACTCATTTCCGAATTGTTCGATAGACTTCAGGGAGCTAAAGTATTTACTAAGCTTGACCTTAGGAGCGCTTACAATTTGGTTAGAATTAAAGAGAATCATGAGTGGAAGACGGCATTTAATACCCGTAGTGGACACTATGAATATCTGGTAATGCCATTTGGGTTATGCAACGCCCCGGCCGTATTCCAAGACTTTATAAATGATGTACTCAGGGAATTCATTTACTCATTTGTCTTGGTTTATTTGGACGATATTTTGGTGTATTCCCCTGATCTTCAAACTCACCACTCCCATGTGAAACAGGTTCTGCAGACGTTGTTGAAAAATAAACTTTATTGTAAATTAGAAAAGTGCATATTTGACCAGCCTGAAGTCCACTTTTTGGGTTACAACATCTCTGCATCGGGATTTCAAATGGATCCTAAAAAACTAGAGGCTGTACTACACTGGCCATTACCCTCTGGTTTAAAAGCCATTCAAAGGTTTATTGGTTTTGCCAACTATTACAGAAGATTCATCAAGGGATTTTCTTCTGTAATAGCCCCAATCACAAATATGACTCGCAAAGGGGTTAGTAGCACGGTATGGTCCAAAGAGGCTGTGAATGCTTTTGAGACTCTTAAACAAAGATTTGCCTCTGCGGACATACTAAAACATCCTGACACCAGTAAACCTTTTATATTGGAGGTTGATGCATCCGAGACAGGGGTAGGGGCTGTTCTCTCTCAGAGAGAAAGCCAGGGAACACCATTGCATCCTTGTGGCTACTTCTCCAGAAAGATGTCTCCTGCTGAGCGCAACTATGATATTGGCAATAGAGAACTGTTGGCCATTATTCTTGCCCTCAAGGAGTGGCGACATCTTTTGGAGGGTTCCAAGGACCCCCTGTTGATCATAACCGACCACAAAAATCTGGCATATATAGGGGATGCCAAACGCTTGTCTTCCAGACAGGCTAGATGGTCACTGTTCCTTTCACGTTTTAACTTTCTCATTACTTATAGACCTGGTTCTAAAAATACCAAGGCTGATGCCTTGTCCAGGCAATTTGATAATGAGTCAGCTCCGGAACAGGTGACATCTATTATTCCACCAGAGTGTATTATTGCTACTACTGTCCTCTCACTGTCTTCTCCACTGCTTGGCACCATACTGGAGGCCCAGCCTCAGGCGCCCAGTGGTAAACCGTGTGATAAACTGTTCGTTCCCCTATGTGAAAGGGTTAATATCATGAAAGTGTTCCATGACAATATAACTGCTGGACACCTGGGCATCAATAAGTCCACTGCCGCGATCACTAGATCATTTTGGTGGGATTCACTCAAGAAAGATGTAAAGGAGTATGTGCAGGCATGTTCTGTGTGTGCAGTTTCTAAGGTGACTCATGCACTTCCTTGTGGTCTGTTGCAGCCTCTTCCTGTTCCTGAGATTCCATGGTCCCACCTATCCATGGACTTTATTGTTGAGCTTCCTAGCTCTGCTGGGTTCACTACTATTCTCATGGCTGTAGACTGATTTTCTAAGATGGCTCACTTCATTCCTCTCAAGAAGTTGCCATCTTCGCAAGATTTGGTCCTAATTTTCATACGTGAAATTGTCCGTTTGCATGGCATCCCCCACAATATTGTGTCTGATAGGGGCTCTTAGTTTGTGTCCAGGTTCTGGAGGGCGTTCAGTAAACAATTGGGGATTGATCTCTCCTTCTCCTCCTCCTACCATCCACAGACCAATGCGTTGTTTTATTAATAGCACACAAGACAATTGGTCCGAACTACTCCCGTGGGCCGAGTTCGCTAGAAACAATGCTGTTCATGACTCCTCTGGGCACAGTCCATTTTTTGTCAATAATGGTAGGCATCCTACGGTTCTCCCTGCGGTATTTTCTGATACTGCCATTCCTGCTCTGGATGAGCGTCTGGCCTCCATTCGGGATACCTGGGTTAAGGTTCAAACTGCTCTAGGGGCTGCTGCTGAACGCTTCAAACATTTTGCTGATAAGCGTAGGAGTGCCAACCCGGTGTACCAAGTGGGGGACCGGGTTTGGTTGTCATCTTGCAACATCAAGCTTAAGGTCCCAAGCATGAAGTTTGCCCCCAGATTCCTTGGTCCCTATAGAGTGCTTCGTAGGATCAATCCAGTGTCTTACTCTCTGGCTCTTCCTGCATCTTTAGGGATTCCCAATACTTTTCATGTGTCCTTACTCAAACCTCTTGTCTGCAATAGATATACTGTTCCTTGTGTTCCTCCCCCTCCGGTGGTGGTGGGTGGTCAGGAAGAGTATGAGGTATCTTCTATCGTGGATTCTAGGTTTTCTCGGGGCACTTTACAGTACTTGGTTGTTTGGAAAGGTTACGGTCCTGCTGATCGTTCTTGGGTTTCGGCTCCTGACCTGCATGCGGGCCGTAAGATCCGCGCTTTTCACGCTAAATTTCCTCTCAAGCCTGGTCCTGTCCGCCCTGTGGGCGTTCTTCAGGTGGGGGGTAATGTCACATATTCATCCGCTTATAGAAATATGGTTAATGACATTTACTGTCCACACAAGAAAAGTTGTGCCGAGCAGCAACCTAATCCACAGAAGGGTTAATGCTGAGCAGCAATTATGCAAATGAAACCTGGTAACTGACTTTGGGGTCAAAGGCCGGTTACAGCCTATCAGAAAGAAAGGAGGGGTATTTAGGCCCAGTTTTCAGCCTGCTCAGTGCCCTGTCGTGGTTTCCCTTGTGGTTGTGAGAGCGCGTTCCTGTTTATAGTTTTCTACCTGGTTTTTGACTTTGGCTTTGTTTATTGACTTCTCTATATTCTGGTATCCTGACTCCTGGCTTTCCTCATCGCTGTGTCCCTTTCTGTGTTCCCTGACCTCGGCTAGTATTTTTGACTATTCTTTGTACGTTAAATCCGGCCATTCTAAGGACCGGTAATACGTTACTTATTTGTCATCCATGCTGTACAGTTCTATGTGCTTGTTCAAACAGTAATCCTGACACTGGGACAGGGCCCCGGCGGTGAGTGGGCCCTGCAGGGCCAAGAGGGGACTGCTCCAATGCTGTTGGGGGTGGGGGAGGACCTCTCCTGCGGGCCTCCTCTGCAAATGAGGATGGCGCCCGGGGGGTCCCCCCCGTTCTCAGCTCCCCCCCCTTCTCGGTTTCCGGTTTAACCCCCCCCCCTCTGTTGGTGTCCCCCTGTTCTTTCTTTCTTCCCCCCCTTATTTGTTCCCATCAATCTGTTTTGTTTTGTTTTTTCCCCCTTCCCCTCTCTCTGTTTCTCTCCGCTATGTTCCCCCTTCCCCCCCTCTCTTTTCCTCTCTTCCCCTGCTCTTACCTGTTCCTGGGTCTTCTCTGCCTTCTGTTCTTCTCCCTCTGCCTTCTGTTCTTCTCTCTCTGCTTCTGTTCTTCTCCCTCTGCCTTCTGTTCTTCTCTCTCTGCTTCTGTTCTTCTCTCTGTTTACTTACCTCGGCTGCCTCCTGGTGGCACGTCCTCTCCATGCCCTTCTCACAGGTCCTGGCTGCAGTTCATAGAAATGCCCAGCAGGTGGCGCCTGGAACATCTTCGAAGAAAACAGTGGAAGCTGGTTTCAATATCTTCTGCCTGGACTTCTACGGTTGTTATGCCGCGGGTGGTGCACCGGGCATTGGCTGGTGAGTACATTGTACCTTGTTGCATCCGATCAGGGCCCCCTTTAGAGCTGGGGGGGTATTAGTGCGCAAAAAAATAAATCAAAAATTATACATACAAATTTCACCATTTATAAAAACAAAACAAAAAAAAAAACAGAACTGACTGAATACATGAATGGAAGGTGAGATGTAAAAAAAGGAAAAATGATTAAGTAAAATTTGGGAATTTCTAAAAAAAAAAAAAAAGAAAGAAAAGCTCCTGAATGAATACCTGAATTGAAGGAGAAGTAAAAAAAAAAAAAAATGGTAAATGGACGCTGCTTACCAGGGAGTCCACTTCGGTTATTTAACCCCCCCCTTTTTATCAGTATTTCTCATATGTTATAGTACGGTTTCCTGCAGCATCCTGCGCAGCTTCTAGCACTGGCGTTGCCTCCCAAAAGGCAGGCGGTTAGGGTGGCTCTCGACGCTGCTGCGGGGCGCTAGTATGGCCTGCTTGACTTGCGCATGTCGAGTAATACAAGGGAGCAGTGGTGAGGGTTTTTTTTTCTTAGTGATATGTTCCCTCATGCCGCGGGGGGCCTGTGCTTGGAAGGGACTCCTGGTGGCGTGTGTGAGGAAAATACCATGATTGGTTGCGCCCCATGGCGCGCAAGGAGTGTGTCAGGGTCGGATAAATGCAGTGAAGATGAACCTGCTACCACGCTTGCTGTACCTGTTCCAGACCGTCCCAATAGCTCTCCCGCAGGCCTTCTTCCGATCCCTGGACTCCGCGATACTGAAATTCATATGGTTGACGGGCCCACCGAGAGTGAGGAGGGCGCAGCTCATCCTCCCGAAGCACCGTGGAGGCACAGGACTGCCGCATATCAGGGGATACTACCAGGCCTCCCACCTCTCCCGCATCATCGATTGGCATGTGTCAGCCATGGACAAACAATGGGTTCAGCTGGAGCTGACGTGGGCGAGGGGACGGATCCCGCCGGTGGTCTGGACGCGGGCTCCGATGCGAGACCAGGAACTCAGTTGCCACCCCTTCATTGGGGCGACGCTGAGGATATGGTCGAACATCCGCTATAAGTTGCAGCTCACGACCCACCCCGCACCCTTGACACCGGTTGTATACAACCCCGACCTGGCTGACTGGCTGTGAACGCAAGACGTGGCCGGCATCGGGGAGGGGGGGGCCCAGCTCCTCCGGGAGTGGTGTAACAGGACAGGGATGAAAACCTACACCGCTCTGACAGCGCAATCCAGACCCACAGGCCTGCTTTAATTCCGTTACCAACAAGTTAAGCATTACTACGCCACCCTCCAAGGGAGACAGTTACTGCACAGAGACCTCACGCAATTTGAGACTTACTGTTCCAGCGAAGAACATCTGACCCGCGGGATATCGACGCTCTACGCAATGCTCCTGGCTGCTGACCAGGGAGCGCCAGCACATTTCCACGCCAAGTGGGAACAGGCAACGGGGGTCGCCCTGACGGACCAGCAATGGGGGAAGATTCACATTCTCACGCACCAAGGGATACTAAGTACCAAAATGAGAGAACTTAACTACAAGGTCCTGACCTGCTGGTACAGGACTCCGTCCAAACTGCGGTCCATGGGGCTAGCATCTGACGACACATGTTGGCGATGCAAAGCCGCTGAAGGTACAGACCTGCATGTCTGGTGGACATGCCCCCGGATAACAGGTTACTGGCAACAGGTACATGACAAACTCGTGGAAATCCTTGAAGAAGACATTCCTATGGAGCCCTTGCCCATGTTACTCAACCACACGCAAATGCCAATACCACGCTACAAAAAATCTCTAATTCGGCACTTCCTCAATGCCGCCAAGAGCCTGATCCCCGCCAGATGGAAGTCGACTGACGTTCCCACGCTATCTCAATGGCTAGATAAGATAGACGAGATATACACGATGGAGATCCTCACGGCAGAGCTCCGGGGAACACAGGAGCGCTGCACCCGACTGTGGACCCCCTGGATCACTTTCATGGCGGGCCGGGGGCGGGGGTCGCCGGCCCATCGGGGGTCTGGGGAGGAGGCTGGAGACGGTCGACGGGGGGGCCATGGGGGGTACTGGGGCATGAGGGACCCCCCCCTTTTTTTTTTGTCCCTCTCCCGCGCCAGCTCCTGGGGGGACCCGGCCCACCCCCCCCCTATTAACACACAGGCACCGACGCACTCGGCCTGAGCCCCTCCCACACAAGACACACACCACACAACCCGGATCTGGTCTCGACAGGGATCAAGCGCCCCACGCGTACATCGTAACCAACCCAGTTCACATAGGCGATTATGCACTAGAATGAGACTGAGTAGAAAGAGCCACACTCGATGCACATAGTCAGCCGGAAGCCCAAAAGGGAGCCCGCCACGCACGCACTGGCCCTACGGGGGCGACCGGGGGTACCCGGGGGGTGGGGAGTTCACATGACACCACCAGACCCGGACACCTGACGACCCCAGGGGGACCTAGAAGATCTGGACGTGGCCCCGACTCGGCCACCCGAGAGAGCGGCCGGCTCGTGGACCGCTTACCCTTGAACAAGATCTGGGGGATGCAGGAGACCAAGAGGCGCCCCTCTCTCTTCAGGGGGGCACGGGGGCGCTTTGGCACCCAGGCCCGCACGAATATCTCCCCCCCGGGAGAGGGGAGCTCGACCCGCACCTTAAACCAAGGTGCCCCAGCCCAACCGCGACATGATGCACATATTCACCTACCTACCGCCTCACCCATAACCTTCCCCACATGGGGTCCGGGGCTGGGTGGCGGGGACGCGGGATGGGGAGGGGGGAATGGGAGTTACGGCGCCCCTATTGGCCTTGGGGAGGTCACACCTGCCGCCCGGGAAGAACCAGGCCGCCAACTGAGCACCAACAGCGGGTTCGCACCCCAGCAAGGGGGGACGATTTGGGAAGGGGTATACCAAATGGGGTTATTAGCGTAACATTGTTATGGAAATGAATGTTTGCACTGTTACTTCTTGTCAAACCACAAAACTAAATAAAGAATGTCAAAAAAAAAAAAAAAGGAGTGTGTCAGGGCATCGTATGTTATGGATAGCAGTGTCGGGGAGAGGGCTCCCCGGTATGCTCCACGTTGTTCTGCTGTCAGGACACTCTCTGGGACGCGTGTCGTTCCTAGGGTGAGCTGGGTTGGTGGGAATTTGCAGACGGAAAATGGGGTCCTTGTGCCATTCCAGCACAAGGGTTCCCCGCGGTCTTTTCATGCGGGCAATCTGTCGGGATAGGGGACATGAGTGCTCTCCGAGCAGGACCTTTCTACCCATATGAGACTTCCTTTGTGTGGGAGCGGCTTACCAAGAAGCTTGGTAGGCTTATCTCCCGACCAACTTTGGGGTGCTCCCGAAGTCCGCACCGTGGGAACCACCCCTCCCACCTTGGGGCATGGTGCCTGTAGAGGGGCAGGGTAAATTTTGCATGATTTCTTATTTACTCGATTGTCATTCCATCTGTTTTCCGGGCCGTATTTCTGAATGTCAGTGTTCTGTGGCTATGTGCTCTTAATGTCGCCCTCCTGGGTAAGCTGGGCTTTGTCTGTCGGTGTTGCCCTGCGTTATGGGGTTTTCCTTTTGGGCCTCCGTTAGCGGTGGCTTGTGCAATCAGGCCCCCTAAGTCCCTCCCACTGACTTCCACCTGTTGCCGCTGCGGCGAGTTTGGGTTTTTTGGGGGGCCTAATTGGGTTTTTTCCATGGTGTGCTGTCTCTTGCTCAGTAAGCTGGCAAGCATCGGGGCTCTTGCAGACTGGCTGTCTTGGAGCTTCCCCATTCTGGTGGCATGGTAGGCGTGGGGTACCCAACTCCCAGTCAGGTGGGTAGTTCTTCCATTGTGACAATTGTGGAGTGGTGCAGGCTGTCTATATCATGTTGCAGTACCCTCTACCCCGGTGGTACCCTGGTTGCAGGGCCTAGCTCGGTGCTGCTTGAGTCTGGAGGTGTCTGGTCAGGCGGGGTTTTTCCCGGGGGTTCTATCTTGTTCAGGTGGGGGGCTCCGTGGGGCCGAATTATAAGGCAGTGGAGTTGTGGTCGCTCGGTCTAGCGGTCTGGGGCCAGCTACGGTACAGTGTGACCGATCAGGCCGGATGAGAGCATTTCCTTGGCGGTTTCCCGTTCCTGTTACGGTCATCTGCAGGTGGGAAGGGGTTTTGGTGGCTAGAGTAAGCATCGGGATGGATTTCCTTCAGGCTTTCGCCACTCGACAGCTGTTGTACTTGGGAAAGGTCAGTTGGTAGCGGTTGGTTGATTCATCAATAGAATCTGTTCCGTTCTTGGATGTTGCGGGGTTGACCTAACCGGGCACTTTCTGCTTTCTCTTGAGGTAGATGGAATGCACAGGGTAATGGTTAGGCTCCTAACAGGATGTGCTAGGTTCCCAGTTGAGTTGAAAAAATACCGTTTCAATTGGGGGGAGTGCCGGGTTTCCAAATGTGTCCTGTTTTCCTTCGGTGAGGGCTATTGCGCCCCTGAGTTGTTCAGCCTCCTCTCCCATTTTGGTTCTCGAAGCTGGGTTTTCTCGCCTGCGTCCATGTCATTGGGGTGCTCCAGTTGGGGCTTGAATTCCTTGGTATGGATGGTGGAGAGTTCAGGGGGCATTTCGGTCCGGTTAGGGGTCGGCTACAGACGCCGCCGGTTTGGGCGTGCTTGTGCCACTGGTTCACAGAGCCTGAATAGTGGGGGTCAGGGGGTAGGCTCCTTGGGTTAACCCTGCCAGTCTCCAAATGGATTTCTCTCCGTGGTTGCTGTCTCTCCCCCCTCCCCTCCACCCGGAATAAGGAGGGTGGGATGCTCATATGTCATTTGGGACAGGAGGCGGGGGGCGAGTGGTTGGATCTTACCCCTTCGGAAGTGGAGGTTTGGCGGTCTAGCGCCAGATGCATGAGGGAGGTGTGGCTCCTCCTCGTCCTGGGTCAGCTGTCCCGCCTCCTAGGGGTACTGGGGGTTTTTGTCATCTGTCTGGGTGGAATGACCTGGGTTCGGTGGCTGTTTGGGAATTGGGTGCTCTTGAATCTGGAGATGTTACACATTCTGTTTCTTACCAGAGGTTCTCAGGGGCCGGGCTGAGGCTATCGCCTGTTCCTGTTGGCAGTGCGCTCAGCAATGTGAGTGCCCTGGTGCGCTGCAGTCGGGAATCGGAAGAGGTGGGTTTCTTGTTTTGGCTTGGGGGATTCCAGTTCACCTTGGGGTGTGGCCGGATGTGGCCTAGTTATCTCGAGGGGATGGGTGCGCTTGCTGGAGGTCGGATGAGGCCTATGTTAATGGTGCACTGAGGAAGACTCCGGCTGGAGATGAAACGCAATTGCTGCTAGATCAAAGGATTGTATCTGGTATTTTTTCTTGTTTACTCTGCAGTGTTTTATTTACGCTTTGTGCCTAGTATATTTTACTATTTATACACTGCATATTGTCCCTGTTTTAATTGTTTATTTGTGCAATACATTTTGGATTCTGCATTTTGTATCCTGTGCTGCTCTCCTCAAGGATATCGTTTTAGCCTTTTTAGGCACCTCCTGCATATTATATAGAGCCTAGGACGGCTTTCAATCCTGTGAGTTTTACTCTACATGAGGAGTCTAACATTATATATATATATATATATATATATATATATATATATATATATATTGCGCTATGTTGTGTTATTGGTGTTTTTTAGATTGATCACGAATGGTCATTTAATTTCCTGGTGCAGTATTTATTCTATGTTAATCTGGCACTGCTAGCAGTGGTGGAACAGGCCATGGCTGGTTGTGGTGGGGTCCCCCGCTGAGGTGTAAAACAGCGGGGTTGTGGCGGGGTATGTCCTTGCCAATTGAGTTTGAGGGGTTACGTTTAAGTATATGGAATGAGATGAACAAGTTTTTAAGGTCTCAACCTCCCCTGCTTCAAAAGGTTAACATTAGGTTGCCTGAGGTGTGTGCCCATCGAGCGTGGATAAGGTCGGCTGATGGGCATTGGAAATATATGATTTTATGATGAGGGGGGAGGTGAGAGGAAGTGGTGATTAGGAACCACTATGTGTTATTGGCAAGGATGGTTGGGTCACTGTATAACACTATGGGTGGAGTTATATATGTATATATGTTAATTTATGCTTATTTATGTCTAACGTTTTGGTTACAGAAAAAGAAGAGATTTAATAAATAAAGTTATGGATGTGTTATACAGTAATTTAGTTTGTGATAATAAATGCTGTGGCCTGTTCATCCATACTAAGTGGTCTGTCATTATTGGGGGGTTGAATGGGGTTAGTTTTGTTATAGGCTGCAACGCAATTCCCCACTACGTACATACAAGGCCCTGGGGAGATAGCGCAGCTAAGCGGACAAGGGCACATGTAGGAGTGTGGGGATAGATGCATGGGATTGGATGGGAAAGAGTGTGTGGGTGGGATTATGTTCTGTGTAAATTAGTGTGGGGTAGGTCTTACCCCAGTGCCACTTGGGATTCGGGCCAGCAAACAGCTTCCCTCCTGCCCGCCCTATTAGTATATTTTGTCACAGCTAGCCGGGGGTATGTCCTTGCCAATTGAGTTTGAGGGGTTACGTTTAAGTATATGGAATGAGATGAACAAGTTTTTAAGGTCTCAACCTCCCCTGCTTTAAAAGGTTAACATTAGGTTCCCTTAGGTGTCGTGCCCATCGAGCATGGATAAGGTCGGCTGATGGCGGGCATTGGAAAGATATGATTTTTATGACGAGGGGGAGGTGAGAGGAAGTGGTGATTAGGAACAACGGTATGTTTATTGGCAAGAACGGTTGGGTCACTGTATAACACTATGGGTGGAGTTATATATGTATATATGTTAATTTATGCTTATTTATGTCTAACGTTTTGGTTACAGAAAAAGAAGAGATTTAATAAATAAAGTTATGGATGTGTTATGCAGTAATTTAGTTTGTGATAATAAATGCTGAGGCCTGTTCATCCATACTAAGTGGTCTGTCATTATTGGGGGGGTTGAATGGGGTTAATTTTGTTCTAGGCTGCATCGCAATTCCCCACTACGTACATACAAGCCGATTTTTAGTTCCAGGCGCTGGACGACCAAATACCGCTGGGCTAACAAAGGATCCAAGATGGCGACCGCCGCGTGGTCGGTAGCCAAACGACGGCCACATAGGAAAGCACTTAACTACTGATTGCAACAATCTTGCAATCAGTTAATGGGCGCCACACGACCTCCTGTGTGTGGTCGCCCATTCGGCAGTTTATTCGTTTCACGAACAGTGTTGGAATACACTGTTCGTGAAACTACAGTATGAATGCTGGGGTTTTTCCTGCCGCCAGCATACGAATGCCTTTGTTCGCCTGAAATGCAGATACGTGAATACACTTGGTTCTAACAGCTTTAAAGGTATAGACACATATTCATACAACTATAGTCTTAAGTGGCTAGATTTGCCACAGAGCTCTATATTTTATAGGAAGCCAATGTAGGGACTGACAGAAGGGTGAGGCATGGGAGGTGCGGGTGGACAGGAAGATGAGCCTCGCCGCCGCATTCGTTATGGACTGTAACGGCGCAAGTTGGGAGCACGTAAGACCACTGAGAAGCGGATTACAGTAGTCAAGGCAAGAAAGGACAGTGGAATGGACCAACACCTTAATTAGCATCTGGCATTAAGTAGGAAGGATAAGCAATATTTTTGAGATGGAAATGACAGGATTTGAATGGAATTGAACATGAGGCTTGAAGGAGAGAATTAAGTCCAAAGGAAACACCTAGGCAGCGAGCCTGGTAGGGGAACTGATAGTTGCACCGTTGACTTGGAGGGAGGAGACTTACAGGGTAACAACTTACTTGAGGAAGGTAGGAACCAGAATTTCAGTTTTTGGTCAAGTTTACAGTTTTAAGGAAGTGGGCAGCCATCCAGTTAGAAATAGCAGAGGAGCCGATCGACGCTAAGTCAAGGGACAGGGAGGAGAGATCAGGAGAGGAACCTGGGTAGATTTAGCATTCATCTGCATAGAAATGATATTGGAAGCCAAAGGAGCTAATGAGTTTACCAAGGGAGGCAGTATAGATGGAGAACAGTAGGGGACCGAGGACTGAACCTTGGGGGACACCAACAGAGAGGAGTTGGGGAGAAGAAGCAGAGCCAGAGAAAGAAACACTGAAAAAGCGCTGGGAGAGGTAGGAGGAGCACCAGGAGAGAGCAGTATCTTGTAGATATTTGGGTAGATTTGCATATTGCTAATTCTGCAGGCAGGAGAGATATTTTCTGTTAATTATGGTCTTCCCCACCCCTCTATAAAGATGTAATTGTGCTATAATAAGTTGCTGTATGTTGTCTGATATGATTTGACTGTTTGTATTTTTATTGAGTTGTCACAGCAATCTCTATGTAATAATCATATTGGCTAGTCCAGGACAAAATAACATTCTTCCATGAACATTTTCTTTTGGAACTTGTGTCCCGTGGAGTTGTAGGGATCCCAGTGACAGAGTCTTCAGACCTTTTTGCTGGTGGCAGGATCCCTCTTACCTAGGGATAAAGCACGAGAGCTAGGCCTGAGAGCCACAAGTGTCTTTTTAAAGACGAGAGCTATAACAATGTAGGCGGATGTGTATACCTGCCAGGAAGATGGACTGCAGTGGAAGAGGCAGAGGGGACGATACCTTCCTGGAAGGAAATCTGCAGTCTGGTCGGGTGGAAAAGCTCCAGAAGGACCCCCGTCATGCTTTGGCAATTGGGGTTGAAGTGTTCCAGGGTGCCTGCAAGCGGCTAGGAAGCGGACTGAGCGGAGGTAACAATTTCACTACAAGTATGCAATGAGTGTGCAGTAAAATTAAGGTTAATTGCATGGTAGTTGTTTGAATTTAGTTCCGTTTGTAAGTAGAGATAGATAGCGGTTATAAAGAGGGTGGACCAGTACGTGCTCTGATTTGTGATACTTTTGCATGTCTTACAGAGATGCAAGCAATCCTGGTAAACACAAGATGGTTAAGTTTCAATAAAAGGAAATCAGATGGGGTACAGTGTCAAGTGTGTTGTATGTAACGACACACTGTATTACAGCATAACTAAGATTTAGGTGTACAAGAAAAGTAGACTGAAATATAGGCCGCCAGTTTTATTTGAACCACAATACCCATAATGCATTATCAGTCACTTGAAAACATATGTACGGTACGTGAAAATAGTAGCTCTATAATATTTAAAATTCCAAATGAAAATACCCCTAATAAAAGGAGTTAGCATGTGCCAGTAGTAAGTAATACATAAATGGGTCAATTAAAATGGAAATTAAGAACAAATTGTAGAATGGGTGTTCAATAGACCGTAAAATAGCCTATTCAGTGTTATTGATACTCCATCAAAAAGGGCCTAACTTTCCTGCATATGAAGCAAGAATTTGTCATGTCACTAGGTTCCCTCATTACAATGAACCCGTGTGATGTCAACTGTAAAAATAATTCCCCAGAATCCCCAAGTTGTTCATACCGTTATTTGATAAAAGTGAGAATTGTCAGGAATTCAAAGTGAATTCTACACGAATTTCAAATTTAAGGCTGAATAAGCCAAACTGGAATCATAGTTGACTGAAACCTTTTTCCAAATTGGCTAGTATGAATTTAAATTTGAAATGCTTTGAATTCCTGAAAAAATTCTCACATTAGCGAAAAAACCTTGAGAGGCACCTTATGTTTTAATAAGGCTAACCACTGTGCTATTAGAGTAACTCCTTAAGTGTGTAGTATGTCTGTGTAAGTATACAATGAGACAGTACATTTAGGCAGTGTGTTGATCAACATGTAAGTATTAAGTTAAAAAATGTACGTGTCCAATGGCTTGATTGAAAAGTCTTCTACGGAAAAAGCAAGCAGGCAGACCAGACAGAACCCATTTATATGTACAAAAAAAAATTGCTTGCCTATTGGGGTGTAACCTGTTGAACATCCTGTTCTATCATCTCAAAAATAGTTACAATGTATCAAATAATTTAATAAATATTGTCTTTATTATTGGGTAGAATAAGGAACTGCTTAATTCTAATTTGTGCTCTGTCAAGCCCAGTTTGTGTGGTGCCCATGTTGGACCATAACATATAACAATGGGCCCTGTAACTCATTGGTCTGCAGAGGAATTCAACACAATCAAGCAAGTCATGTTTTATGAAGAAATTAAACAAAATGATATAAAAGCAAAATGAAAAAACAAAACCATGGAAAAATTAAAATGATCTCACGTTCAAAGTCAAGGAAAAAAGTGGGACACTGTTCTAGGTCGTTATAAGACAAGACTTTTAGAAGATTCCCCATCTGATACCTAGAAAACAAAAAACAGAAAGGAGGGAGTGATGGGAACCAAAGTGGCAAGGATGGGAGAGTGATACCCAATTCCAACCCATAACATACACACACCCTGTCATACCAATTATAGTTAATCCAGATGAAGACCTAAGGAGGTAGAACCATTTCATATTCCACAATACAATGAATGAAAAGGACGTTTGGATATTAATGTCACAGGCTGTCCTGAATGTTACCTGGTGAGGTGGATTGGGTTCTTATTCAAAAAGAAAACATAGAATTACTTATATTTTGAGTTATGACATAAATATACATATACATATAATAATGTGCTTTCTGGCTGCAACAAATCTCTTATTTATCAGCTCTATTTCCAACTGAACTTCTTCTTTATCTTTTGCACTGCATTATGTCATTTTTTTCAGTATGAAGGTTGCGTTAAAGTTATTTTATAAACACCTATATTTCTTTAACGTGTATAATTTTGCAATCCAAATCTGCTTCTAGGTAGCTGCCATACTTTTCCCTATGAATTAAGAGTATTATGAACTGCATTGTGCATATTATTTTGGTGCAACAGTGAGGACATATTGATGACAGCTCAATATTATTATTAAGTAGTGATGTCCCGAACGGTTCGCCGCGGACTCCAGTCAGCAGACACATTCCAGCCAATAAGCAGCAGACCCTCCCTCCCAGACCCTCCTACCTCCTGGACAGCTCACTAAGAATGCAGCTTCAAAATGGATGCTGTCCAGGACAGTGGCGGATCCAGAGCCTGATCTCGGGAGGGGCACTTGTAGATTATTTAAAGAAATAATCCAGACACAATAACCACTACAGCTCAGTGTAGTGGTTATGGTGTCAATAGTGCCGGGACCCCCTTCCACAGTAAGTAGTCAAACAGTTTAAGAACAGTTTGACAACTTACCTGAGATCTGCTGGGAATGGGGCTGTAGTAGGGCATAGGAGCAGTGGTGTGTGTGAGTGGTGCAATGTGTAAGGGGTGCAGTGTGTGTGTGAAGGTTGCAGTGTGTGAGTGAGGGCGGCAGTGTATGTCAGGGATGCAGTGTATGTGTGGGACAGTATGTGTGTGTAACAGTTGCAGTG